CAACCACATTTCACTTGGAATTGTCGACACTGTCTTTTCAAAATATCAGTTTTTTCTAAGATATAATTTTGGTATATTAATATTTATTATTTCCATATAAGGGAAAATGCCTGAGGCAACAATCCCTAGTAAAATGTGGAACCAAAAATATTTATGTGGCAGTTGTCTTTTACGTTTTTTGCCAAAGGTGATGAGAGATCGAAAATAAAAGGTACTTCTTTGAACGATTACATTCTTTTAAAAACTCATTACATAGGGTATGTGTTTTTGTATTAATTATATTTAGACATATCATTTTAAGTGTTTATTTTGGATAATTATTTATTAGCTGTTTACTGTTTATTGGGGATACAGTCCAATACAAGTTGGGACATTATAGAGTAGTTATTTCCGGTAATATCACCATTTAGGAATCTGTGAGGTTGGATGTATTTTGTATACCTAGATTTCTAGTAACGTAAAATATTGTTTAACTTAATTTGACGGGATTTTTTAGAAAAAATGTTATATTGTCAATTAGCGTATATTTAATTAAATTCTTTGTTATTTATGCTTAAATGTAGTTAAGTGTAATTAATTAAAAAAAAAACTGTATTTTACATAGTTGAACTATTCACAAGCGACTTTAAATATAAACCAAACATTCAATTAATTTTCATCTACCACTGAATTTTTAATTAATCCCTTCTTTCTCAAGTTTTAAATTTGTGTTTGCTAATTTTTGTATAATGTACAGGGTGGGCAAATAAATTTTATAGGTAAAGTGGGCAAGGGAAAATGCTGGAAATTATTTTCAAGTTTCCAAGATGGCCGTCAGTGGGCGTTTCCACCATCTTGAATTACATAAAGTTACGTTTCTCGCGATTTTCCCCAATGAATGTAACAAAAAAGTATTTGCGTTTTAATGTTAACTTAAAGTCGAATATTTTTTGTAAAAACAATTTTTCTCTATCTTTCGAAATAAAGTGGTGGGGGGTATTTGAATGTTGTTTTAAATAAATGCCTGTAACTTCGAAACGGCTTAATGGATTTGGATAAATTTGGTATCATTGAAAAGAGCATTTCTTGGGCTTTTAGGTNACTTATGTTGGTAGGCCCTAACCACCATTCAGTGCAGGAATGAGGGAAACCTGGAAAACCTCATTAATTAGGGGGGTGGTCAAATGCCAACCGGTGTCAATTCCTCACATTGACCCAAGCCAACATTCTTCCACCCTACCATACCTGCACAGAGGGTGCCAATCCTCCGTAGAAGCATAGCTAATCTACGGTCTACCGGCCGCGGGATTCGAAACCCGGGCAGATAGCACACATCGATTTAAGTACTGACATGCGGCTATCGACCGCCTGCTGATAGAATACATTAAAATAAACAAAATCTCCAACTTCATGTACAAAAGTTCAATTAATTAAGGAATATTGACATAGCTGCGTGCATAGAATACCATAAAATATAATGTTTATCACTTTTCTGAACTTCTTTATGCTTAATTCTAAAAAATAATTAGCGTTGTAATAAATTTAAAATTCGATAAAATTCATATAGAGCAATGTGACAACCGCGCGGCGGTTTATTAACACGAGGTAATAAGGTGTCCAACCACCAATATGCAATTCAGTTGGTATCTGGATTCGACCGTGTCGGAGTATTTTTTGAGTACCACTATTTCCTTTTCTTGTGGTGTTTTCCAGCGAGTGCGCGAAAATTGATTTCGAAGATGTCGTGCTTGCATCGAAAATGGTGGTAGACATTTTTAGCAAATCTTGTAGTTTGTTTTGTACTTGTGCATTTAAAAATTACTGAATCTTGCTTTTTGTTAAGTACCTAAATTATTTTTAATACGTATGATTATTTGGATGACGTGAATCTTTGGGTACTTTAATTACATATTTTATTTATTTGATTAAAAGTTAAATTCCTGTTTTAAGAGATTTATAATTATTATAATTTGAACTAAAATTTAAGCACAGCACCATCTTCGTAGTACAAAATCGGTCCATTTCGTTTTATTTATTTAAAAACTGGAAAACAAGTTTGTCTTGAAATTTACTAAATGTTTCACAATAATAGCTGTTTACATTTTTTCCGTAGGACAAGTCTGCCGCGTGTACACGTGGTGTGGATCAGCAGGTTATGCGCTGTTGTCACGTTGCACAGTGATCGGAATTCCGAAAAAGCTGGACAAAAGTCGAAATTTCGAAGTCGTTGGTTTGCGTTAATACTTCAGAATATGCTAGAGAAGGAGTCATTGCGTAGTTCTTTAAAGTGACAGAGAGCTGGCCCATGTGTATAGACCACACCAACTATCGGAAGTATGCTGCGACACATTAACATATTTCACTTGCCACTGACCTCTCGAAAAGCGGTGAATTGAAAATACGTACAAATTTTTACTAGAGTACGAATCGTTGTGTGCAATAGAGAGGGTGTTCCTGGAGTTAAGTAGAATACATTTGCTCATTTAGAACCTCATTTTTCGAAAGTTGCATGTTTTTATTGTTTTAATAAAAACGTCTTGCAATTTCCATCGATTTCAAATCACATCAATCGTAAATTATCGAAATAGTTGTGATCCCAAGAGATCCTGCACTATCGAAAGTTGGAAAATGCGGACAGGAGTGTCAATTTTATATATCAAAAGAAAAATCCACCGGATTTTTCCGGATTAGGGTTCTGAGTCATTTTTTGTGCCTCCATGTACGACCGATTTACTATTGTAAGAGGCCTTAGTTATACAACAGCTAGCGTTTTAGTTTCTCTTCGCGTTCCAAACGAGCGTTTCTAATTCAAATTGTTTTTTTTTATGAACATGCACCCTTTTCGTGTGCCTAAATCCAATATGGCGGACTCCCAAAGATGGCGGATGGGATTATTTTTTGTGCACCCCTATGATATGGGTATCAAATGAAAGGATTTGCTGAGAAGAATACGAAAATAAAATGAAGAAAATTATAGATGAACTTATTATCTATGATCTTTTAATTCATAATTTATCATTTTCGACAGGATCAGGCACCAGTAAAATTACGTGAATGAAAAAATAAATTTTTCGATTTTTCCAAGAGAATTTAGAAACGCAAATCATCATTTTAGATCAACCTTTTTAAAAAGGTGCAAGATAGATGAAAATGAGAAAAGCTTTTCAACCGAAGCTATGGATAATATTTTCATGCTCTGACGATTATGTGACAGGTGATGACGATGCGAATGACTCATGTGTATTAGAATTAGCTAAATAATTAGAATAAGCTTTATAACAAGAATAAGCTTCAATAGTATTTAGAAATTATTTCGTTCGAAATGACGAATTCATTCCAAATACATGCCTTATATCGCAGATATTTACCTTTCGTACTTTATTAATAATAATTAATTACCTCAAAAACCTCAAACTTCAATCTTACATGCGTTTTACGCGACCTCAATACCAGAGGCACTCGAAATTTCAATTAGATTCAATAAATTAACGTGATATATCGGCCATTTTGTATCAGCCATCTTGAATTTGAGATTTTTGACTGCAAATTCGGCTTTAGCTACCTGAAACATAAAGTCTCCACTTTTGATGATGCAAGTCTTTTTGGACTTTTGTCCAGCTTTTTCGGATTTCCGACCACTGTGCGTTGTGATGAAACTCCCCAATATTAATACTCGCTGTATTTTGAAAACTGTTAATCTTATGCCCCTGTAACATGCAACTTTTTTGTTCATTTATGAATACTCTATCACGTGCTGAAGTAATGGCAGTCAAACTTCTTACACCCTATATTTCTGGTATTGCCGCTTACTAGCATAATATAGATTATTACTGTTTATTTACTTGATTGTCGCCATAAAGTCTCCGATGTCTAAATATAACACACGTAAAGGAAAATCAAGGAAATAGTATCTAACAGTTTTTAAAATATCCGCCATACTTTTACAGTTTTACAAATAAAAGGTTTTCCTACTTCGGGTCACAATCTTGGGATATACTCTTATATGACAATCCTTTTACTAATTTGATTAACTTTGTATAGGTTACAATTTCTGATATTCCAATAGTGGCTAAAATTAAGTGTAATACCATGTATGGATATTAGGTTCTTTACATATGATTTTATTTTATGTATGTTCTTGTTTGTTAGAGCATAATGAAGAAAGTTCTAAATTCAGTTAAACATTTGTGGAGCTTAAAATAATGTTGTATAGCTTTTGTGGAGATTTTTGCAGTAGAACGAAGATAATAGAATCGGCGCAATGATCTTGTTTAACTCATAAACAGGGAACATTTCCTTTTCACTCCGCAATGTACCGTTGCTTGGAGTTTCGTATCTTTTTAATTATGTTAATTCCCTTTTCAGGTTATACTACTATTTACCTCTTTCATGATGTTCATAATTAATTTTTGAGCCAGGTAAATACTCGTTCGCAAGCATGTACATGCTTCAAAGAAACATAAAATTGTATGACTCGGTGTGAGATCCTTCTGCATGAGTTGGTTTATTTTGTTACCAGAATCTATTTCAACAATTACACAATACAGGTTGAACGAACAATTTATATGAAATTCAACATAGGTCTCACATCATTGCCAAATGTTGAACGAAATGTCATTTGCTAAATTGTATCTTCCGTCAGTTTTTCTTAAAGTACCTTTTCTTCATTTAAGATGTTTTTTTTGTGAAATTTAGTTCAAAAATCGATTGTATTTAAGAATTGGAACGTTGACCATAAAATCAGTTCTGTTGGAATTTTTAAGAGTGTTCTACAGCAAATAGGCAACCAGCAATACATTTTTTAGATTTTATTACATAGTTTGTCTAAATATGAATTAATGCATAAATAACCGACTTTACCCCCCCCCTTCTAAAGCAGATTTGTTATAAATTTGAAACTAAAATTACTTTTTGGTGTAAAGAAAAAATTAGTAAAATACGATGCCACTTATTCAACAGTAATTTACAACAGAAAGTAATTTGAAGTTCNAAATACAAGAAAATGTTAATGTATGCAATAGTATAGAAGAGAAGATACAAGAACGAGATAATGTTATTGTTCAAGAAATTGAAAGGATTGATAGGCAAATAAAGAACAATCAAGAAAAAATTAATAAGGTGGAAGAAAATTTAAATAAAAGAAGCCCAGAAGAAGGAAATGAAGAACAAAAGAGACAATGGTTACGAATAAAGGAAAGTTTAGAAAAAGAGATGCAAGATTTGAAACAGAAGTACGCAGCAAACCAAGTGGAAACATGAATATTTGTATACTAGAACATCCAAAAGAATTTATACATCTAGATAATAGAGAGGACAGCATCCTAAAACAAAATGAACAATTAAAATCAGTATTTATAAAACTGAAATATCAAAATTTTATTAAACTTGCTTTAATAGATAGTGGATCAGAAATGTCACTAATAAGTGAAAATCTATGTAAAAATTTTCCAAATTTCAGTAACAATATCATAAAGATACCACAAATAACTTTAGTAGGAGCAAATAATAAAAAATTATATACATCAAACAAAATGCTAAACATAACTGTTGAAATAAAGGACATTCAGGTAACATTACAATTATTGATAGTCCCATATTTAGAACATGAGATAGTAATAGGTACAGATCAGTTATCATAACATAAATTAGTAATAGATTATGAACAAAATAAAATTAAATTGTATGATCATTGGATAAATTTTGAAAATTTAGAAAAGGAGCAGGAAAATATAATTTTAGCTAGTGTAGAGATTGTAGGAAAGATTAAATGTAGGAGAATGAATGTAAATGATATAAGTAATAATGAAAATGAATATAATGAAATAAATAATGATAATTATAATTAAATGGTAAATGATGATGAAGAATTTATAAATGATATAAATAAAATAGTTATTAATTGTGATNTCGGGGAAAGTCTGTTATTTGTGCATTGATTCATATTTCGACAAACTGTGTAATAACATCTATAAAAATGTATTGCTGGTTGCCTATTTGCTATACACTGTTAAAGTTACAGTATGGCGCAAAAATATACAACAAATTAAATATTTCATAACCAGTTAATGAAAAATTATTAGATTGACATTGTAATGACGCCATGAAAGGTTTCAATGAGTAGAAACATAAAATGAACAAAATCTCTGTTAATATGTCTAGATTTTAATAATATTGTTAAATATCAAGTGGTACAAAATCCATTGGAATATTTAAAAATAAAGCAAAATGCTCGTAGTACTTCATGATCTACCCTAGCAAGACTTTAAAAGGTACTTTATGCATTTTATGTGCTTTATCAGTTAAAGTAATTGATAATTGTGTAGAAAACTCTTTACAAATGATTTAATGCTTTGCGATTGAAGTAATTAAATAAACTATATAATATACTTAGGTACCTAACATAAATGAGACACATAAAATTGACATCTATTTAAAATTCCTAATTAAGCTATTCTTCATTTATTCTTCATAAGAAAAATTTTTACCCCACTCTCGCGTTTACGTTATTTTGAGGTGGAATCTTTGAACCATTTCAAGAGTAATCTTTCTTTTGAGAACATTAAATTAAAATATAGTGTCAGTAAAATAATAAGTAAAATATATCTTAAATTTGCATATATGTGTGTAAAGGTTAGGCAAAGTTCGATATGGTTATTATTAATCTCTTATCTTAATCTTATTGTCTTAATCCCTCTTATACTCTTCAGTAACATAAATTAAGAGATTTATATAATTTATACAAAGTTACATTATTTACTTACCTCAGTATTTATTTATAATGTTTTAGACAGTTAAAACTATGTGTTATAATATTTCTCCGCAAATGAATATAAACATGTCTACTGAACCACTAGCACACTGACTACTCTACACACGTTCGGTAACAATTCACTGGGTGATAACGTGATTAATCTGATTGGTTGAGCCAAATCAGATCCTGAAAATTCACACTAGTATTCATATATTTACATCAAATATAGCAGAAGCAAATAAATGGTTGGAAATAATATATTTTAAATTGCGAAAGTACAAAGTAAAAGGTATATATATATATTTCTTAAAAAAAAATCATTCAAACGGGTACTTAATTGTACCACGTATGTTCAATTCGTTTACATTTTTCGTGTATAAAAACCATTACAAATAGATAATATGTAAAAAGCCTTTTACCTATGTCGTTTTCATTAAATTGTATTGACGAATAACACACATCAAGAGTATGAATGTTTTTTTCTCACACAAGAATTGTGAAAAAAGAACTTTAACGATGACATTTTAATTTTTAATGCAGTGTGAAGGTAGCTTAATAAAACGCAAAAATTAGTCATGTGACATTCAGTACCAATAATTTTTATCTGAAAAAAAAAGCTCTAAAATTTTTAAATCAGCGAAAACATAAAAAATATGAACTAGCACCACAATAATTTTTCAATCAGATTTGACAACTTAATACATGTTTTCAAAATTCTATTAAAAAACGCCCCTGTCGTTGAAACGCGAAACATAAACGTGAATAGGAATCTGTCTTGGATGTAATATACATGCTTATTGACAATACGATTCGGTTTCAACCAGTGCTCCTGTACCAAGCAAGGTATGTATATGGATACGTTTATGGAGTTACATGACGTCAGTCCTCCGGAATTGAATCTCATTCAGTTAAGAAACATGCCAGGATCCCGAGTACAAAGAAACGTAAGAGATAAATTGAAACTGTTGTTGTTTTAAAGAGAACTTCGGAAGTAAAAGGGAATATTAAATTAACTTCGCAAATTAATGCTGACGTATAACTACACCTCATTACTCCGGCATCCAGTGCTGTAAATATAAAGCAATGAAAATCGTGTTCAAATCCTAAATCAAACGAAATAATTGTCAATGTTTTTACTATCCTTAAAGTAGAAGATCATGAATACTATGAAGATTCTAAAAATTAAGAATTAGAATGTGTTTTTTAAACAAATCCAGTTTNAGTCATAGAAATCCGTGCGATAGACAAGGATGGTTACATTGAAGACGTTTCATAATCTGAATAGTTCTAACCCGAAACGGGCGGTGACTATTCAGATTATGAAACGTCTTCACTATAGCCATCCTTGTCTATCGCATGGATTTCTATGACTTACCTTATCGCTCTCAGGTAACGGCCGATGAACCATGAGGACTTTCCAACCCTGTAGAGAACCCCGAAGTTCCATAGTTCCATAAATTAGAATCACATGGACTATCCCTAAATGAACAATTTCATATAATGGATGATGTTCAAAATATATATATATACGATGCCAATAATATACGCCCAGTCAGTTGTACGATAAAAGAAAAAATGCAGAGTGTTGGAAAAAATCCAGGATCACCATTTTGGAAAACATATGTAAAGTTTTATCTGGTACATATCAGGAGTTACCGGGAAATATATTAATACATAGTTCATGCCTCTACAATTTCTCATACTGTTCGTTGTCAACAGTAGACGTTGAACGGTCATTTTCCCTACACAAGCTAATACTATTTCTTCATTACAATCTATGTGATTGCTTATTGCTTATGAAATCGTTTCATTGACAATCACTCTTTATTTATTATTATGACAAAAGTCAAATTTGTTTTATTACTTATAAGCGCTAAATACAATATTAAAAAGATATTTAAAACGGACAGTGGTGATGATGTTCAAGTGTCGCGGATACCACCAGAGTTAGTAGCAGGTGCAAAATATGTGACTTTAAATTTATTACCAAACAAATCTGGGCTTACAAACGTTTCAAGATTTATTGTCTTGAAAAAAACGACCGATCCGAAAATGTTATGATTGCATACTTTTCCGATTTATTTACAAAGTTGGAGGTACCTAGGTTATAATTAAATTACTTCATGTTGAGAGCAATACTTAGTGCAAAGGAAGACACTGATATATGAAAATATTTTAAATTACGTGTTTTCCTGAAACGTCAAGGTGCCACCTATAAACCGAAGAAGTCAAAATTTATATGGAATAAACAACTTGAAACGTTTATTACTCAAGCACCTGATAATAATGTTAAGTTTTGGAATTGGTTTTTTCATTTGGAAATTTTAAATCAAAATTTCTATCGGTACCGAGACACAAACGTGTCGAATTAACACAAATTTGGATATTTAAAATAGTCACTAGCAGGATGTGAATTACTACAATGGACTTAAATGGAAGATGTGTATAGATAGTATAGTTACAAATTTGTAATTAATGAAATTTTCACGACTGACGTCTCGACTGTCAAAGTTATAACTAAATTTGAATTTGCATATTCATTAAACTATGTAAATGCACTCATGTTGTACAATTATGTTACAGAGAACAGTAAAAAGCAATGTTACAATATTGAAAGTCAATTATAAGTTCTGGCATGAGCACATATAATCATCTTAGTGAAATTTTGACGTAAGATGAAGGTATTTCACATATAATTCAGATTCATGCAATAAAACTGGTATGTAAACGAAGCATAGTGTACCTGGAGCCAGAANATCGTGTTCAAATTCTGGATCAAACGAAATTATTGGCAATGTTTTTATTATCCTTAAAGTAGAAGATCATGAATACTATGAAGAATCTAAAAATTAAGAATTAGAATGTGTTTTTTAAACAAATCCAGTTTTTATACAGGTTCGGAAAGTCTCCATGGTTGATCGGCCGTTATGTGAGAGCGATAAAGTAAGTCATAGAAATTCGTGCGATTAACACAAATTTGGATATTAAATATATTTAAAATAGTCACTAGTAGGATGTGAATTACTATAATGAACTTACATGGAAGATGTGTATAGATAGTATAAGTTACAAATTTGTAGTTAATAAAATTTTCACGACAAAACGTCTCGACTGTCAAAGTTATAACTAAATTTGAATTTGCATATTCATTAATCTATGTAAATACACTCATGTTGTACAATTATGTTACAGAGAACAGTAAAGAGCAATGTTACAATATTGAAAGTCAATTATAAGTTCTGGCATGAGCACATTTAATCATCTTAGTGAAATTTTGACAAGTTATTGACGTAAGATGAAGGTATTTCACATATAATTCAGATTCATGCAATAAAACTGGTATGTAAACGAAGCATAGTGTACCTGGAGCCAGAACATATGTGTGGAATTAAACCTATACATCTGTGAAAACCTTTTTCCTGCAAAATCATATGGGCAGAATGTAAGAGACCCTCAACTCCATAAAATGTTTTTAAACTCCACCCAAAGGTCAATTTGTTGCGTAGAC